AGCTACAGCCAAATCTTTTATGATGCCACATTTCTGTAAGCTAGAATCTCATTAGATGAAACCATCGCGAGACATCTTTATCTTTATCGGTTGTAAGCACGTAGGGTTAGGTTTGGCCCAGAACACTGCGGCCTCTTGGGTCTATTGTATTCCCCTGCTTTCCCCGTATTCAGGTACTATCTTTGGAATAGTAGTCTTTGGCTAGTTTTAAAAGGTTCCCTACCAAGTGTTCCTGGGGCGTTCTTTCCGGCTCTAGGCCGAAAAGGATGAAATGTCGCCCAGTAAGAGCTTCGCATTCGAAGATCACATGGTATGAGGTTTCTTCATCTTCCATGCAAAGTCTACACGTAGTGAGATCATTGTGTAATCCCATTACATGAAGGTGTTTCAGCAAGCAGTGCCCCGTTAGTAATCCCACAATGGTGGATATCTGAGGCCTTGCGAGTTGTAGTGCCTCAGTAGCCATGAGTGGGTTTGGTCCCCTTAGCATGAGCTTACTATGTGCCCTCTTATCTGTTGCCAGTGAATTTGGTGTTTGGTGGTTATCCACCTGATCACTGCCTGTCGAGCAGAGGTTTTGCTTATCCCAAATACAGGTTCGGGTCCTATAAATGGTAGATTTGATCTCTCTTTGGCGAGTTCATCAGCCTTTTCATTTCCTTGGATACCTTTGTGCCCTGATACCCACGCTGGTTTTACCTTGTTGTGGGTTGCCAGATCATTTAGTATTCCAAGGCAGTTCCAGACAAGCTTTGACTTGATTCTGTTTGAATCAAGAGCCTTTAAAGCTGCTTGGCTATCTGAGAGAATTAGGATGGTTTGTTTTTTGTACTTCCATCTTAAATTCTCTCGTACACACAATTCGATTGCATGTATTTCAGCTTGAAATACAGTGGCATGTTTTCCCAGTGAGACAATGATGTCGCATTTGGGTTTAACTCCATGTACGCTAGAGCCTGTTCCCTTGTTAGTTTTAAATCCATCCGTATACCATACGAGACGGCTAAGCAAGCATTTATCTATTTCTTTATTTACCTCGTTCCAGTTACAGTTGACCTGGAAGAGTCTGTTAAAGGTTAGGAGGGGTGTCATGTGATCTGATCCCATATTTAATATAGAATCGTTTACTTCATGTGTTATTCTGGTATGTTTTATATGTCCCAGTGGGTTCCAGTTGTTGGAGATTTCCAGTCTGTATGCACTCATTCTGGCCTTCCCCCTTTATGACTAGGTGAAGGGGTGGGAGGTTTAGAATGATTTCCAAAGAGGCTGTCGGTGTACTGCTCAGTGCTCCTGTAATACAAAGAGCTGCCAGCCTTTGTACTCCTGAGAGGGTATTGAGGGCTGTTTTCTGGTTTACTTTTGGCCACCAAACAACCGCTCCATAAGTTATCATGGGTCTTGTTATTGCCAAATATAGCCAGTGGACCATTTTTGGTTTTAATCCCCATGTTTTTCCAAATGACCGTCTCCCTACAATGAGAGACATTTTACATTTGTTTGTCACTTTTTGCAAGTGTTGGTTCCAAGTAAGTTTGCTATCTACGATTAGACTCAGATATTTTACTTGGTTCGTTTTGTTTAGCCTTTCTCCAAACAGAGTCGGAGTTTCTAAAGCATCCAACTTTGTTTTCCGAGTAAAGGTTATGAATTCTGCCGTGTTAATTGAAATGGCCGTATCTGTTTAATACTTATACGTGAGAAAACTCGATTTTTCAAGAAAAATCACTTACGCCCAAATTTCTAAACGTTAAATTTTGAGTTTTATAGAAGATATATCCATGAAAGTTGTAGAGATGGACAAAAAATTCATTGTTGTCATGCGTAGTGGTCATATCTTTATGTCAAGGAAAATTGCAGTTACGGCCATTTGAATTAACACAGCAGAATTGTGCCTTGTCAGGGTTTACTCAGTTTTTCCAATCCTGTCAATAGAAATGACGTCAGAGTTATTGGTCTATAGGCCTTTGCCACGGCATACGTTGGACGTCCCGATTTAGGTATGAAGACAACTCTGCTTTGTTTCCAGGTATTTGGTACATGTTTATGCACCAAACTTGCCCTGTAAAGCCTACAAATATGCGGGGCCAGCGTTTCTATTGCCTGTTGCAAAAGCACAGGCAGTACCCCATCTGGCCCCGGTGATTTGTATGAATTGAAGGTGCGTATTGCCCATGTTACTTTCTCTGTTGTAACTACCCGTTTAGCAGTTTCCCACTCTTGGCTGGAGACCCTTTTTTGAGAGTTCCAGTTCGTGTGGGTTTGGTTTGCTCCATTCGAGTTTGTTGTGCAATCAGGGAAATGTGTTTTAAGAAGTAGTTCTAATGTTTCCATTCCAGTTTTAGTGTATTCCCCTGTTTGGGTTTTTAAAGTCCCCACAGGGTTTATTGGATCTTTTGCTAGAATGCGGTGGAGTCTGCATCCTTCAGTTGTATTTTCAATTTCCTGACAGAATGTTCTCCATGAATACCCCTTACTCCTCTTAGATTTCCTAAGAGTTTTGTTATACTCTGTGAGTGTTTCGGTGTATTCGCGAGACATTGTAGGCGACCACATTTACATCATAAAATGAATTAAATTTAGAGTTTTCACTTTCATAAAATTAACTATTCATTTGTCCGTTGAACAAGACACATGCCATGAGTCAAAAGATGGTTTGTGTTAAAAATATTTTCTTAGAAATCAGACACAGTTCAACAAGAGTTGTAAAAATACAACTTTGAGTAAATAATAAAATAAAGAACAAATTTTCCATAAAAAAAAATAGGTGTTCAGCCAGGCATCACAGGTCGTTAGGTGCCGACAAATGCAATGAAAAATGTGATTGGCACCAGCGCACTCAAGTAGGTAATCAAAATGTTGTATTTTTTTTAACCTGCAAATCGAAATACCAGCTTGTCGAAACACAAAACTGGATATAAATAAAAATCTAAAATTTCTAACATGTGAGTGAGTGAGTTAACAAAAATAGGAAACAAATCACTTTAATATTACAATATTATAATACACACGTTGTATTAAGTAATTTATAAAACAGTAGAACCTGATTATCCGGGCCAGCCGGGACCGCGACTTTGCCGGATAATCGAAAACCCGGATAATTAAAAAAAAAACCTCATTTTTAACTTTTTAATAATTTTAGACAAATACTTATGCCAAAGAACAAAAGAAACGTAATACATGTAACACAAAATAAAAGTTTTAATATTGAAAGAACGTATATTGAATGTAATGTTAAATTTTTTACCTACTTACTGGCTTATAAATCATTTCCTCATTTTAGTATTGAATAAACGATTCAGAATACGTAAAACAGGTTGACGTGCCCTAATAAACGGACCGTGTTCCTTTGAAATTTTAATAAAGCCTTGATGCATCTACACAGACGTGGTTCAAATAGAATGTCTGTGTGTTCTGTTCGCACAAAGAGGAATAAAATTTAGGGCATCCCTAATAATAACGGATGCGGTGGTGCGGTTGGTTTTCTAATGCTAAATTAATCCTTTACCATCCTAGACGTACTAGCTAAAAATTCCTTCCGCGCTATAATGCGGAAGGTGAGTTATTTATTTATACGGAGTGGCCCAAAAGTCTGGAAACGGTCAATTATCTCGTAAAGTAATAGTCCTAATTGTACAAAATTTGGGGTACATTTATTTTGGGATACGGAAATTCCAGATTTGATATTTGCAATGTTGCCAGATTTGCCATATCTCTTATACTATTAGTCACTTTGGTTTTTCAAATTAATCACCCTGTATATTCAGTCATGGACGAATGTGGTAGACGCATTCTACCATCGATTAGGGTACTGTCAACTCACAAATGGAGCACATTTTGAATACTTGATAAAGTAACCGTTATGTTAAAAATGCTGTAATCTTTCAATTGTTACGTTTGAAGTAGTTGAAAATAGTTTGTATTAAAAAAAATATTGAGATAATTAGGCGTTGCCAGCCTTCTGTTTTATTTATTTAAGACCTTCCAGACTACATAAAATCATAAGTGTTACATATGGTTGAACTCGTATTGAATAGGAGATTCCGATAATGACTGAATATACAGGGTAATGAATTTGAAAAATCAAAGTGACTAATAATATAAGAAAAACGGCAAATCTGGCAACATTGCAAATATCAAATTTGGAATCTCCGTAACCCAAAATAGGTGTACCCCAAATTTTGTACAATTAGGACTAGCAATTTACGAGATAATTGGCCGTTTCCAGACTTTTGGGCCACTCTGTATATGACAACCGCACACCGAGGTTATTAAAAATTAAATTTTGCATCTGTGGAAACAAATAATTAGATTTTATCATTTCGCCATTTTAAAACCAGTAAATTGTTTATCCAATTGTTTTTTATGATTTCTGGAAATTTTACATTTTTTCATTAACTGGTTAAATTAGTAAGTATTTAAAAACGGCACTGTCACCTCTCTGAAAACCAATATGTCGACTTTATCATCCCTCTATTTTAAAACCAGTAAAGACATTGAATTTGTCTTCAACAAAATGTTTTTTAAACTGTTCTGTATGATTTCTGGAAATTTTACATTTTTTATTTAACGTTTAAAGATATCATATCTGGAAACCAATATTTAAACTTTATCCCGCCCTTTTAAAACTATTAAAGATATAAAATTGTTGTCTTCAACAAAATATTTATATATTTTATATTATTTCTCTAAATTTTAGACTGGTTTTAAACAAACAAATTTTTAAAGATATCGATGTCACATTTCTAAAAACGTAAAATGACTATGGATATTATTTTATAAACTATTCTTTAAGATCTTTTCCATCGTAAATAATAAATATTTAATAAAACTGGTATATAAACAATGAATGTATCTTTATAATAGCAAAGTATGAAAAGATGCAATAAAAAAATTACCGAATTTAATAATGCTTACGTCACGAACATACGCACTACAAATTAATTTCAATGGTAATCATCACCGAACACCCACATCAAAGACACAAATTATTTTTACAGGAGCCGTTGGCAAGAGATGCGTCGTGCACAGAGGCAAAGGAATAGGAGGGACATCTTTACTTAATCAACTCATTTACAGTCGCGGCAATTCAATCGATTACGACAGATGGGCAGATTTACTAGACGATCCCAGCTGGCGTTACGAGAACGTATTGTTATATTTCAAAAAATCAGAAGACTTCCACAAGACGAATCCAGATGCTCCTCTGGATTGGGACTATCACGGAAAAGGCGGAGATTGGTACACAAACTTCCACATGCCACCATCGAATTTTACAAAAATATTCCTGCAAGCCAATCGCGAACTGAGACGAAACGTTACCGATTACAACGGGAAAGAACAACTGGGGGCTACTATCCTACAACTCAACATAAAACACGGCAGCAGGTACGATCAAGCCAGTGCTTTCATTAAACCAGTCACCTCGCGTCCAAATTTGGTTATTTCAGAAGGCAGCTACGTTATTAAAATCGAAATAGACAACAAAACAAAAGAAACCACAGGTGTTCTTTTCACGAAAAACAAAAAACTTTACAGAGCGAAGATTAACGAAGAAGTAATTCTTTCCGCGGGAGCAATTTCATCGCCCCAAATCTTGATGCTGTCCGGAATCGGTCCTCAACAACACTTAGAATCGAAAAATATATCTCTAATCCAAAATCTAGACGTAGGATCGACCCTCAAAGACCACGTTTTCTGCGCAATACAGTTCTCTTCCAATACATCGATCCCAGAGCAGACTTTCAAACAATTAATAAAGGAATACCTGAAAGGTTACGGCGATCTAGCAGCAGGAAACCCTCTAGATGCTGCAGGATGGTACGAAACCAAGGTACAAGATATCCAAGATTATCCTGATTTAGAAATAATACCAACATCTTACGGCCCATCTGATTTCGGAAAGAAATTTTTAAAATGGAAACCAGATACTTACAAAGAACTATTCAGTAACAAATTAAACAATACTTTCGCATTGACGATGGTATTGCTTCAAACAAAATCATCTGGTACTGTTAGATTACATAATAATAATCCCTATTCTTATCCAGACATCGACTGTAACTCTCTAAGCGATGAAAAAGGTAAAGATATCGATACCATGTACGAAGGCATCGATTTGATTAGAAAACTCACTCAAACTCAAGCGTTTAAAAAGATCGGTACCAAGTTAGAAGTCAAACCATTACAAGCGTGTTCGTCTAAAGATTTTCAGTCTAAAAGTTTTTGGTATTGCTATCTAAGACAAATTTCAATACCAGCGTTTCACCCAGTCAGTACGTGTCCCTCTGGAAAGGATCCCAAAATGGGCGCGGTGGTAGATTGGAATATGAGGGTGTTTGGAGTGAAAAATTTGCGGGTGGTCGATGCTAGCGTCATACCTTTTACTTTTTCTGGACATCCAAACGCGATTTGTACCATGATAGCGGAAAAAATTGCCGACGTTATCAAATTTGAACAAAGAGTGTTCGAATAAGGACGATTTCAAAGATACCAAACAGTATTAATTCGATCATGACAAAATATTTATTTATATTTATTGTTTCAATACAAATATACGATGATATATGTGTTTCTTTGTTATTCCTTACATACAGGGTCACTTCCTTTAACACGTTCACCGCGCATGTCATGAATCCTGTACGACATGCGTGACATGATGTACTAAGTAACTGAACGCCGTAGTCTGAGACATGCTCAGCAGTAAATATAAAATTATTAATTTGATATTAAAAATATTATGAACGTGTTCTCTCGAATGTAATTTGTTTTTTATCATATTTAAAATGAATGGTTTATTCATAAAACAAAAATAATCTGTGATTTTTAATAGTGATGTTAAATCAATCACTTTTGAAAAAGTGTTTCTTTATCAAATATACATATAAATATATTTATATCCCAGGATGATGAATGTCTATTTAAAGGTAAAACTAAGTAATTATCTTCTTCTGTGGCTTTATCAATGTTTCTGCACCGCATCTATCTCTTAAGAGCCAAATAACCAGGGCGAACCCATAAAAAATTTCTTTATTTACTTAATAACTTTTAAAATAATTTTTTAGGTTCAATTACTGTGACATTGCTTTGATTAAAATATAAAAAAAATATAAATATAAAATATACTGATTTATACAGAATAAACGAAATTTTCTACTTTGGTACTATTTTAATCAAATTTTAGGAGTGGTAAAGGTTCCATATACTTAAGAAGACCAACATTTTATTAAAAGTATAATGGTATGAATGGGGAAAGTGAAAATTAATATAAAAATATATATATGCATGCCTTCTTAAGCATATGGAACCTTTACCACTCCTAAAATTTGCTTAAAATTGTACCATAAATAAAGACGGAATGTGCACCAAAGTAGAAAATTTCGTTTATTCTGTATAATTAAGTATATTTTATATTTATATTTTTTTATATTTGATCAGACTAATAACAAAGACAATATCAAAGCAATATCAAACTAATTTAGCCTAAAATATTATTTTAAAAGTTATTAAGTTAATAAACTATTTTTTTGTGGTTGCGCCCTGGGTATTGGCTTCACTTATTCCTGTTTTACTGTTTTAAATGTTTAATATTTTTTCAGGTTTTAAATCTATACTTTTATAAAAAAGAAAGATCACTATCATTTTTTTATTATACAGTGTTACCATTAAAGTCCCTTGTGGGATCTTTTTTGGTATTTAGATTACGCAAATGTAGAGTTCAAGAACAGTTTTTGCTTCGAAAATAATAAAAATTGTTGTTGACTATTTTTTCTGTCAAATTTAACGTATTTAAAAAAATAAATGCTAGGTTTTTTAAATTTAGAATAATGCCAAATTAATTTTTTTTCTTTTTTCGGATTTTTACCCACCTACCAAATTTAATAAACTGATTATATCGTATTTTCTAACCTAACAAATTTTTGACTTATTCGAATTTCTAAAAAAAAAAAAAAAAACACACTTAAGATGTAATACACTTATCTACTGAAGTGCCTTTTTTAAAAATGTTTGTTTCTAAATGAATATTTAAAAAAAATACATATATGCTGAAAAAAATTATGTCATACTTGACGCAAAGTGGCTTTAGTTTCAACATTTTATAGAGCAAAATTCACTTTATTTATTTTTACCACCGTATAAAGTAGGATTTCAGTTAAGAAGGGCCATAAATCTGAATTTTCAAATCAATCTGCTGATCAACTGACCAATCGAAATTTTGAGAAATCACCTAAATATTTGCATTTTTTATATGTAAAATTTGTTAGGTAAATCTGAAGTAGTGCATCTTTTTCTACAATATATAGCGATAGATTGCAGCATCGTTGACATATATTATGCGTTCCCGTAAACGGCATATCGTCGCCGTAGAGTCAAAACCTTGTATCATCAAATTACCAGGTTTTCAGGGAACATTAAAAACTTTTTTTTCTATAATTGTTAATTTTGTAGAAGTAGTTTTTTTTATGTAATAGAAAGAAGGAAGTCAAGGGAAGTCGAAAAGATGCCAAATGGATAAAGATTTACATTAAAAAAAAAATACATTCAGTTACGCCAAAGTATGAGTTACGAGATTTTGACTCTACAACAACGATATGTAACGACATGCACTCACGTGAACGTAGGTATAAAGGAACACATTCGAAAAGTTCAACTGTCATATGACATGACAGATGACGTGAGTGGTGACATGACAAGTGACGTGACATGAAGTGACAGAAGAAAATAGCCAACGCCATTTTTTATTATTTTTGAAGTAAAAACTTTTCATGAACTCTTAGTTAGCGTAAATAAACTAAATACTAACAATATGATGCGGTGAAGCTGTATACAGCATAGCACATCTTTATTTTATAATTAAAAATATGATGTTAGTACTAAAATATGATTATTTTATATAGGTATAGAATTTCGTCTTCATCTTGTTTTCCATTAAACACAAATTCGCTTTGTCCATTAAAGTGTGCTTCAAACATTATGGTATTATATTGCTACTACGATATTTTGGCATGGTTAAAGACATCGATGACAAAACTTATCAATTAATTAATTGTAAAGGTAGTTTCAACACTTAATTTGTATTTTGCAATTTACTATCTATACCTATTTGTTTTTTTTTTTGTTAGTGAATGAAAAAATGTGATCTGATTTGATGGCAAAAAATGCAAAATTTATATTTTTTAACGATTTTATCGAATTAAAAAAAAGGTGTCTCCAGAAGAAGACATATTTAGATGAACAACGCACGAGCCGCGCAGATGGCGGTCGCGCGGATGTTAATTTATGTAGGAATATATGCAGACAACCGCGCGGATGCCAGTTCGTTGCCTGCATATATCCCTATATAATTTAAAATCCGCGCGACCGCCGCGGATGGCGGCTCGTGCGTTATTCACCTTAACCTTTACATACACGTACATATTTATTTCTTTCACTAAATACGATATTTCATGACGGGTAAACCGCTAGTGTACTATAGTGTACCAGCAATCTGTACTATGCGTACTAATTTTGAACAATTTGTACTATTTGTATAGGGTTGCCAACATTGATTGAGAAAAAAAAATTTGTTGAAGAATACACTACACAAAAGACCTTTATTTTTTGCGCTTTACATTTTTTCAGAGATTCTCCATGTTAAAATGACGTTGTTGACAAACCTATATTTGTGTACTATTTGTGTACTATTGGAGCACAATGTGTACTGGTGTACAACACTATCTCACGTCTGCAAGAATTTCGCTTTTTGTGATATGATGGATATATTCATAAAAAAAATACCACCCTCTTTCACCTCCTTATGTCTCTTTCCTCTGATCTCAGAGAGTTGATGGTTATATAAGCAGGTAGGTAAAATGTTTAAATATTGGTCCATAGTAGTACGTCATTCAACACCCTGTATACTATTTAGCATATTTTTAAAGAATTCTGAGAAAAAAATTGCGCCCGAATAGTTTTTGATACTTATGCGCCGATTTCTCTTAAGACTATTAGGAAATTTCTGTATAGTGAAATTAAAACAGTTTTTAAAGTTGTTTATATTTTGGAAATGTTATTTCTATTTTATTAACCAATAAAATGAATAGAATGCCAGAAATAGAATATGATTTACGGTACTTTTTGAATATTATTTATTACCTTTTTTTCTTTAACTTCTTTATTAAGAATTATCCCTTATATTTTCATTGTCAAAAATAATTCTAAAATTAAAAAAAAATCTTTATTTTGCTTAATATATACTTCTGGAATAAATTTTAGGAGAACACGATTAAGAAGGAAATCCAGAATTACTTTTCACAATGACGATACAAGGGACAATTCTTAATAGAGAAAAATCTAAAGAAATCAAATAGTACAGTACGGCATACTCCATTTCTTGTACTTTATAGGTTAATAAAATAAAAAATAAATTTCCAAAATATAAACAAAAGTTTACTTTTTAAAAATTACTCTAAAATCTTATCAAAACATACTCAACTTACAAAATTTAAAAAGTTACAGAAAACCTTACAGTCTTCTAAAGCGCCCCCTATTTAAAACATTCGAATCAGCGAAAAGAGATTACTGAATGCCAATTTTATAAGCCATAATAATGGCGTATACCGTAGCAATATAATACCAAATGAAAATAGGTCATTGTATCGGAAATATTGTCCACATCATTAAACAATTACATAACGATCATTAACCCACGGTAAATTAACCTCGGCGAAATTGTTTTTGCAGGATCCGAAGACCGGCAATGCGTGGTGCACAGAGGAAAAGGCATAGGAGGCACTTCGTTAATTAATCAACTCATTTACAGTAGAGGCAACCCCACGGATTACGACACTTGGGCGGAAATAGTCGGCGATCCCAGTTGGCGGTACGAAAACGTTTTGGAGTTCTTTAAAAAATCGGAAGACTTCCACAAGACCAATCCAGACGCTCCCGTAGATTGGGAATACCACGGAAGAGACGGGAATTTATATACGAACTTCCACATACCGCCATCGAATTTTACTAAACTATTTCTACAAGCTAATAAAGAATTCGGTAAAAACATCACCGACTACAACGGTAAAGAACAACTAGGCGCTACCATCCTGCAATTGAACACGAAAGCGGGCAAACGCTTCGATCAAGCATCAGCTTTCATCAAACCACTCACTATGCGGCACAACTTGATCGTTTCGGAAGGCAGCTACGCGATTAAAATTGAAATTAACACCAACACCAAAACAACTACAAGCGTATTATTCACGAAAAACAAAAAGACCTACAGAGCTAAAGTCAATTTAGAGGTTGTATTATCAGCAGGGGCGATATCGTCACCGCAGCTATTGATGCTGTCTGGTATTGGGCCAAAGAATCATCTAAAGATTAAACATATACCGTTGATACAAGATCTTGAAGTCGGTTCGAGGTTAAAAGACCATATTTTCTGTCCGTTAACGTTTTCATCGAACTTAACTTCGCCTGAAGAGGCTTTAACGCAAGAAATTAAAGAGTATATTAGAGGATTCGGTGACTTGACAGCTGGTAATCCTTTAGACGCTGCTGGTTGGTACAAAACCGATTTCGAAAAAAATCCCAGCTACCCAGATATAGAAATAATACCGACAACAAGCGCCGAGACAGAGCTAGGAAGGAAGTTCTTATCCTGGAACCAAGAAACTTGGAACGATATCAATAATAATAAAGTAAACGATCCTTTCGGACTTAGCGTGGTTTTATTACGAACCAAATCTGCAGGATCGGTCCGTTTAAAGAACGGAAATCCTTATAATTATCCGGATATCGATTCCAATCCTTTAAGCGACGTCAAAAGCAAGGATATCAAAACTTTGTACCAGGGTATAAAACTGGCATTGAAAGTCATCGAAATGCCCACGTTTCGAAAGATCGATGCAAAATTAAGAGTTACGCGTTTGAATGCTTGTTCGAACTTTCGATACCTGTCTAATCGATTTTGGTATTGCTATATAAGGCACATGTCGATACCAGCCTTTCATCCTGTGGGCACGTGTCCGTCTGGACGTGATCCCGGCGAGGCGGCCGTGGTCAATGGGAATTTGAACGTATTCGGGGTTAAAAATTTGAGAGTGGCCGATGCTAGCGTGATACCGTTTACTTTCTCTGGACATCCGAACGCCATTTGTACTATGATCGGGGAAAAATTGTCTGAGGCTATCAAAATTGATTATAAAATTTATTCATAAATTATTTTATCAAGTCTAAGAAAACAATTTATAACGAGCCCTCGATAAAAATCATAATGTATGTAAATTTACTTATAAATACATATATACCTACGTTGGGTAAAATTAACTTTATTCTTTAAAATTATTTTAACACTAAATTTGCAGGAAATATTTGTATGGGTTCCCATAAAATAAATTCAAATCTATCGAGATCAAATTAGAATAATATACAGGGTATTTTAAAATAAGTTATTTTAAGCGATTTTTTCAAATAACTAAAAGTCGCTTATATTCTCAGCAATACTAGGTATATACTCGTATATGGAATACCGATTACTTATAGAGTGATAACTAAAAAACGTAAGTGTTTGGAGCTGCAATATTTCATTAATAAATAGTTCTAAGAATCCCAAAGAGTGACAGGTACTAAATTGAAAATAAAATCGTATTCGGTAATTAAAAAATTAAATTAAAAAATAAATGCCTGTTTGTGCGAAAATAAAAAATTGAGAGTAATATAGAATGGCCATATAGGGTAATATGGAATAGGCTAGTATACGCTAAATACTTTTGTACTTTATGTAATACCTAAATACTTTATCATTAACACCCAATTGTTTTCGTTTTTTCGGCAAAAAAGTAGCCATAATTTCTGTACAGTAAAAATTTCAATAACAATATACTCACTGGGCAATATGGGATAGCAATAAGGCGAGAAATATGGATATTCCATATTACCTGCTCCACGAAATTTAAACAAAATTAGTGCTCTATTATAAAAAATATCGATCCAAATCGTCAAGATTTCCACTATCTTATGCCTAAACAATCTCACCATAACACCATGCTTTTAAACAAAATTACGTCCTGTACAAATTTTAAACAATGGAAATCATAACTTCACATTTTGCGGCTATAGTGGCAGATAGTGACAATTTTATTTTATGACAGAAGCCTACAATTCTTGAGGGCGTTCTAATATATCTAACCGATTGAAAAATATGGAAAATTTTATATTACCTGACTATTCCATATATATATTTATATACAGAGTGGCCCAAAAGTCTGGAAACGGCCAATTATCTCGTAAATTGCTAGTCCTAATTTTACAAAATTTGGGGTACACCTATTTTGGGATACGGAGATTCCAGATTTGATATTTTCAATGTTGCCAGATTTGCCGTTTCTCTTATATTATTAGTCACTTTGGTTTTTAAAATTCATTACCCTGTATATTCAGTCATTATTGGAATCTACTATTCAATACGAGTTCAACCCTATATAAGACTTATGATTTTATGTAGTCTGGAAGATCTTAAATAAATAAAACAGAAGTCTGGCAACGCCTAATTTTCTCAATAATTTTTTAATACAAACTATTTTCAACTACATTAGACGTAACAATTGAAAGATTACAACATTTTTAACATAATGGTTACTATCAAGTGTTCAAAATGTGCTCCATTTGTGAGTTGACAGTACCCTAATCGATGGTAGAATGCGTCTACCACATTTCTCCATGATTGTTTTATTTATTTGAGACCTTCCAGACTACATAAAATCATAAGTGTTAGATATGGTTGAACTCGTATTGAATAGGAGATTCCAATAATGACTGAATATACAGGGTGATGAATTTGAAAAACCAAAGTGACTAATAATATAAGAGAAACAGCAAATCTGGCAACATTGTAAATATGAAATCTGAAATCTCCGTGTCCCAAAATAGGTGTACCCCAAATTTTGTACAATTAAGACTAGCAATTTACGAGATAATTGGCCGTTTCCAGACTTTTGGGCCACTCCGTATATACCGATTTTACTCTACTTGTTTTGATTTCTGTTTTATTTTGATTTTATGAGCATTTCTGCTCAGCGACTTGGCTATGGGAAATCTTCCATAGGTGTTAGGTGATGAGGAAATTTGAATTTAGATAAATAAAGTCTGGGAAACGTAAATTCATATTTATTCAGATGTATTCAAATTTCCTTAATTATTCTAAATATTCCTATTCACTTGATACGTTTGATTGTATTACTCATTTTTATTTTCATTTACCACTAAATTTCTTGCTGAGGTGACTCACCAAAAGCACAATCTAATTATTTAGATGTTGTTTACCATTTATTTTTGCTCTTTTCCAGTTTTTATTTTTAACGTTTGTTACTCTGTGATTATCACATTTGTAACTTAAATAATTTTAGGCTCTTGCCGTTTAAATTTTGCTAATAAATAGTATGTGGTACAAATATTGAATTATAATAACTATTTCATTTATCCTGATTTGTTGAGTAGTTGAATACCCTTCACGATTTACCTATTATTTTTAAAGAACAAAAATTGTATAGGGTAGTTTGTTTATCATATATTTTCGATATAGGTATCTTTCTTTTTCATATGAAAATTTCTCATATTAAAAATTGTGATTCAATGTAAATACATGTAATTACTAAGTTATGAATTGTACGAACGGTGGAAATGTCATTGATCCGGTAACTAATGAACATTTTCAGTCATGCGTAATATTTTCTCTAATTAAGAAAGATACATACAGTCAAATTAATAAATATAATTTCTCAAAAATTCATCTTGCTGCTGATGTGATTTTCTTAATTAAATGCAGGGACTCGATCCGAAATCAAGTGTGCCACGTGCGCCATCAGATTGAAATGATTTAATTTTTCGTCTTTGAAACATCATGTAGAAGGATTTTTTGTGTTATATGTATGGTCTTATAGATTGTTTTTTTAAGGATTATTTTTGTGCAATTAACCATATATACTCTAAAAAGCTTTAATTAATATTTAAGTGACAACTATGTATTTTTTGTATTGGATTTTTTTTTAATAAATTATACAGCATTGATATCAGTTCGTTTTAATTTTATTTCTTTCATAACATTTTTTTTGTATTGAATCGTCAGGATAAAGTCTACATCTATCAACAATGAATAACTAAAATCAATGATGAATACTAAAAATAGTACAGGTTCCGGGATTGATCCTTGGAGCACTTCCACTACTGAAATATCTAAAACTTGAAGAACCCTTTTATTTAGACTGATTTTTTTCTATCGAATCATCAGGCTATATTATTAAATTTTTATAATTTGAAGATAAAGCCCATACACAAAGAAAAACTGGTGAAAATTTTTTCAGAAATCTGTGAGAAATGTTTTATATACGTACTAACGACAAGAAAAACTGTAAACGAATTTTTCATAAAGCTAGGAGAATTTTTCAAAAACCTAGTTTTCTTCTATATTTACATACGACACCAAAAACGATAACGAGTCTTTTAGAAAGCTAAGAGAATTTTTTTATAGAAGAAGAACTTTACTGACTACTTTATAAAAAACATAGTCACTATTTAGAAATTCTAAATAAAGATAAATTACGATATTATGTATAACAAACAATTTTAGACAAACCGAATAATAAATACAGGGTAGCGCATCGAAAACGAAACAGAGACATTTACTGGCACTTCAGTTCTTTTTTGGAAAAATGCCCCAGAATCTTCGATTTTGTTTTCGATGAGGACACAAAATTGGCAAAAAATCACGTTAACACGTGCAGCCCCCTAGGCGGGGGTGGCACCATCCCTAAAATCTTAAATGGAAAGGGGGTCGAATGATTCATCATTTCAAAAGTTCTTTCAATTCCCTTTATAATAATGTAAAATTCATGTATTTCAGTTTAGTAATTTGCGATTGATTCGACCAAACTATGTTGTTAAAATACCTCTTAACGCTTTATACATAAATTAACCATGATATGTTCCACGGCAGAAAGGGTTGACATTATCGAAATATTTTTTGGAAATAATCAGTGCGCTAATAGAAAAGCACAAACATTTAATGAGCGACATGAGAACAGTAACGTGCATCGAAAATATGTTCTAGAACTTGTAGCTAAACTTCGAAAAACTGGATCAGTCGCCAATAAAAAACGCAACATTGAAAATCCCATAAGGAACGAAGCAATAGAAGTGGAGGTTTTAGTTTATGTAGATCCTACGTTAAGTACCCGCAAATTGCATACGTAGTATCCAACGGATTTCAAAGTCCCATAGTCTTTATCCGTACAAAATTCACCTTGTACAAGAACTTAATGAAGACGATTTTGATCGGAGATTAAAATTTTGTGAAGATATGAGTGAACGAATTATAAACGATGAAAAATTTCTATTCAACACTTGATTTTCCAACGAATGTTTCTTTTTCTTAAATAGCGTAGTAAATCGTCATAACTGCCGATATTGGTCCGATTCTAATCCCAGAATTTATCATGAGAAGCCACAAAAATTAAACGTTTTGGCTGGTATTTTTGGCGATCATTTAGTTGGTCATTTTTTCTTACCTGGAAATTTGACCGGTGAAATGTATTTGGAATTACTGCAAGATGCCATAGATCCTGCACTAATTGAAAATCAGAATGATCGGCGGTACATTGCGAGTAGGTTGATGTTCCAACAGGATGGTGCCCCACAACATTACGCATTACGTGTTCGACAATATTTAGATCAGACGTTTCCAGGTCGATGGATTGGTAGAAGAGGTGCCATTGAATGGCCCCCAAGATCGCCAGATTTATCAGCTTTGGATTTCTTTCAAAATTTATGCTACTAAGTCAACGTCGTTAAAAGATTTGCGACAAAGAATTGTGAACGAGTGCCTTCAAATTACTCCTCAAATATTGCAAAATGTGCGGCAATGTTTTCAGCAAAATCTTTATTACTGCATGGAGAGTCATGGTGGTCATTTCCAACATTCACTTGGCTGACGGGTCAGTTCATTCTTCATTTTTAAACTACTTTGCTGCTAAATGTATTGATATCCACTAATGATGATGTATTAAAGTCTACTTTAAGATTTAAATCAATATAATCTCCAAAACTACTGAGAAGTACATGAATTTTACATCATTATAAAGGGAAATAAAAGACCCTTCAAATGAAGAATCATTCAACCCCTTAAACAAAATCGAGCGTTTTTCCAAAAAAGAACTGAGCTGCC